GAGAGACATTACTGTGTAAAATGTTAACTCAAGAAGTGTTCTGTTTGATAATGAAGGAGTTACAGTAGGGGAAACAGACTGATTAGGCAATAGGAGGTCTTAGTCTTGCTGCAAAACAAGGCCGGTTGGTCCAAAAAGTTCAGGAGCCACTCCTTTAAATAATCAAGGGACACTCTTTGGTGTGTTTCATTAACTTCTCTTGAAGTGAATAGATATGTTCCTCTGCTAATGAACACAGTATATGGAATCTGGAATCAGTATTTGGAAACTAAGAAGAGGTCTCACTTCACTTTATCTCACATGCATAGGATCAAGTCCTGGAGTCCTAATTCAGTTCTCACTCCAGCAAAACTCTGAGTTACATTTTGCTCTCAGATTTCACAGGAGGAGACTTCAGGAGTAAATGGGAACTCAATAATTTGTTAACTTCACTGGGAATTATGCTTAAGTAAAGAGTTCAAGATATGGCCATCAATATGTCAAACATGCAACATAAAACAGGCTGGTTCTACTTTGGCAGATTTCTCCACAGGATTTAGGAATATGGAAAGTGAAAATGAAGTATTATTTTGGATGAAACCATAGTCTTAAGAACAAATATTGTATTGTACAGATAAAGAAGTAAATGCAGTAAAAATATCTGTAATTTTACATTTATTTTGTAAACATACATCAGTTGCCCTGCCTCTCATTACTTTTATGCCAGTAAAAATATTTTACAATCACTTGCACAGTACAGCACCTAGCTATATAAAGTACTAGTTCAGTACATTCATTTTCATTTTCCACAATTTCAGCATGAGCTTAATCCAGCTCCATTTCTCTTGAGGGAGGCCTGAGCACCCTCAATAGCTGTAGACTTCCAAAACTTCAACAGAAGTTGAGTTTGGCAGCACCTTGCAGTAAGGAGCAAAAGCTCACTGTAACAATCTGTCAGTTGTCCAAAACAACCTCTGGATAAAAGAAATGTAGCCTACTTTAGACAAGAAGAGGAATAAATAAATGAGCCATACAGTGCCATAGCAAGGAAGTTTGGCACCCAGGGCAAGCCCATAGCAGCAGCCCACCCTTGCCCCACACACAGATCCAAGGGGCACACGTCCCCCCATGCTTGCCTGGGGGTGCACGCAGTGGTGGGAGCTGACCCCTCCATGTCCCTGCGCCCCGCCCAAACAAGCCTCTCGCAGCTCTGTCCTGTGCCCTGCCCTGTCTGGTGCCTGTTGGCGCCCCTTTGCTTTGGCATCTGAGGCAGTTGCCCCACTTGCCCCTCCCTTGCTATGGTACTGGAGACATACCCTGCAGGTCAATGCACTTGAGCTTTTAAGAAATCCACAGAGGAACAGCTTTTAGAGATATCGTCTGTTTGCTGAATGTAGCCTCCCACCTGTGCACTGAGATGTGAAACTAGGATTAGTTAGTAAAGTTCACTGTTGGCCTCGTGTCATGAGGTCAGGTAAGCCAAAAGCTAGACTACAGACAGCTTCATAACTTAACACCTTGAACTGAACCAAGATTCGGATACAAAGTCAGCGTTGTGTTAAGTGTCAAGTGTTCAACCAAGTTTGCACTGCAAAAGCAGTGTATTTCAGCAAAATCAGCTTGCCAAAAAAAAATGCTTACATATTGACTAAGAGCCTAGTTCTGTACAAGAGTACATCTTTACTACTTCACCAGAAGCAGCATGCTTGCTTTGCATCTCTAGTATGAAGACAAGCTATACCCTATAACAATTCCATCACATTACATTGCATTTTGCAGGATCTGTACATACTCTTTCAGTTAATGCCTATGAAGGAGTATAAAAAATAGAGGGTTCTGGCTGTGGGAATGAAATATGTCAGGGGCTCTGATTACTTGAACCTGCAGATCCAGGGCAAAAGTAAGTGTCTCATGTAGCAACTGCTACTGGATGTGGTCTTTGAGGAAAGAAATATAAATCTGTTGTGCATATTACACTTCTTGTATGTGAATATAGGGCATGATTCTCATTTAAATATAGGCTACTATATGCTATTTAGCTGTGAAAAGGACCTTTAGAATAACTGGTGCCTCAACTCTAAACATGCACTCTCTTATTTAAGTTAGCCCTATGTCTGCCTCCACTAGGAGATTCCAGTCTCTATCAGGAGAAAACATTAAGATTTTTTCCTTGCATAATCACATTTTATTTAGGACTCAGCAAAAATAGATTATCTGGTGCTTGCTGAGTATGTAAAACATGGTTCTGCTTTTGCTGAGTCCCTACTGGAAGTGACCCGGGAGAAAAAAATATTCAACAAGTTATCTCTTTCTGCACAGTTGATTTCAGTGAAATTGCACATTTGCTTATGCAAACATATAGTTTGGAGAAGTTAGATTTCTTTTTGTGCGTCAGGAGGAACAGCAAGAAACTCTGCCATCATGCTTGTTCTATACCAAAGAAATGCAACTTTTTTGATAGAGGTGCAGTATATCGCCATGGAAGACTTGCTGAAAAAACCTTTTATGGTGCGATGATCTGAATTAAAACTGGTTTCTTTTTCTGTTATTACTAGAGAGATAGTAGTGAAGTGACTAAGAGAATCATTTTGAAGTGACTCCACTCAGAGTCCAAGAAGAATTCAATTACTGCAGATTGGATCAGAAGCAAGGGGGGGGGGGGTGTTATTTGCAGCTGCAAGGTGATTGGAAGATAGGTCCAGGGCTTGGCAGTGGGGCTATGGTCCAACAAAGATTGGGAACCATTGGTCTAGACACCCAGGCCTAGGACATAATTGTACCCATGATTGCAGTGGAAGTTGAGAAGGCTCAGTACCTTATAGAAATAGGTCCTAGCTGAGACCCCATTGCCCAATGACATATCAATTCCTATAGATCCCAGTGGGACTTGTCATAAAGATGGCAAGACTAAAGAAGAGTTGCTGTCCTCACCACCAAAATGTAGGCGTCTCCAAAGAGAATTTAATCTTATACAGAATATGTCAGACCAGGTCGAGACGGGGCATGCAGAATACCATGTTCAGTGCCACCTTACATCAGGAAGGGAACTTTAGAGTGGCCAGAAGATTGACCTGGAGAGACCCTGGAGACAACCTCAACCCATGTTTGGAAGATGGTCTTTGTTATGGTTCCATGACATCTGATGAAATGAGCTTCAGCTCATCAAAGCTTTGTGCTACAGATATATATAACTACCAAAGTAGATGGAAGAAAGAACGAAAGAAATGTAATCTACTTTGGTTAGTGTATAGGGTCCAAATTCTATGCGACTTCAGCCTATGGGTTTTTATTGCAGCCCCCAGCAGCTGGAGCTCAGTTTTATGTTGAAGGTAGTCTTATGTAGAGTTTAGATGATGGGTTGCATAGGACAATTTGGATAGGGATGATCCTGCCTCAGGCAGGGGTTGGATTAGATGACCCCTGGCGGTCCGTGCCAGCCCTCCTCCTCTCGCATTCTACACTTCACTAAAATTAGCCAAGTGCCTGGATTTGGCAGCTCCCAGAATAGACAGGCTCACCCAAAGCTGATCGCGGCAAAGGGTGAGACGCCATTGCCAAACTTCAGTGCAAGTCCCAACTTGGGCATGAAGGGCAAGCACCTCACAGATCAGGGATGGGCAATTATTGTGGGCAGGGGGCCGCTTACTGAGTTTCGGCAAGCCATTGAGGGCCGCGTGGCAGGCAGATCAGTATTAATTTTCTAAATGTTTTAGGGGCCCCACGGGCGGATAGAATGGCCTGGCAGGCCACATCCGGCCCTCGGGCCGCATTTTGCCCCCCCCTGCCACAGATGCTGCAGGGGCAAGCTGGGGACCTGTGATCAAAGAAGCAGGTGACAGGCAGCTCAGAGGTAACTGTGGCTCAGCAACCACTCACTCACTCCCGGGGCCACTTGATCATAGAGTCCATCCGTGAGTCCCAGGGCCGGAAGGGGCCTCAGCCGACCTCAGATGCCCCGAGCC